CCTCAGTCAGAATCAGAATCTTTCCCCTCAGGGACTTCCCTGGTAACTCCTACTGACATCTTGCATAGAAGTGGTACCAAGCTTTTACAAACTCCTCCCCTCAAGGAACACCTCTCAGTGCATTCCATGAGACAGCATCACGCAGGCACAGACCGGGCAAAGACACTACAGGAACAGAAACCTGCAGAGCAGTGCCCTTGTGAACATACTTGAGGGGTCCCCCTAAATATCAGCCAAACCCAGAAACATCTAGACGAGATTACAGCCAGTGACGAAATTGAGTTTATCTTAGGACAGTGCTTGCAGAGATTGATTAAACAGATGACAGTCCATCAATGCGAATCACTGTATTAATAAACTAGGACAAAACCACATGAGAATCTCAGATGCAGTGCAAACACTAGACAAAACCTAATTTTTACCTTTCCATGGTAAAAATATTCACAAACTAGGATCAAAAGGAAACTTTCTCCAGCTAATAAAAGCCCATACCTGCCCTCATTCTCCTGGGGGTGGGTGCTAGGGGCTGAAACCACGGAACACTGTGGACAGATGTGAAAGGGGGCCTACCAGAGGACAGCAGCCTGGGCTGGCGGGAGGCTTCACACTGAGAACACAGTGCTCCCCAGAAGGTCCTGCGGACACAAGAGGAGCGCTAACCAAACCCCAGCAACCTTTCCCCCGACACCCATGAGCTGATTCTACACTATCCATGGCACCTAACGGCCCCGAATTGCCAAAGCCACTTGAAAAGAACACAGAGAAAGACCTGTGCTTTCTAATCCCAGAACTTACTACAAAGCAACGGTGATCAGAACAGCACAGAACTGGCATGTGGCCACTCACACGGACCCATGAAATGGAATTAATCCCTTAAGCTCATCTTGGGATGAAGATGCTAAGAACCCTGCCTGGGGAAAGAACCCAGACTCTAATCCCAGGGGGGCAGCACACAGAACCCATCTAGCTGCTAGCAGCTGCTGCCCAGTAACAAGTCTTCTCCCAGGACACCCCTGAAAGATGGGACTTCACTGATGGAACACAGATCACAGGCCACAGGGCAGGGAAGAGAGGGGCATTTGGGGGGGACGGTGGCATGCTCTGTGACCCGCCTCTGCACACATGTGTTACAAGTGAGAAAACTGACATCCAAAAAGTCAATCTTAGTTGCATGCTAATACAAAAAATAAAACTTTGAAAAAGTATCCCAATAGATATACCCACTGCCTAGGCAGCTGTTATAAAATTGTAAAAATGGGGCTGCAGGCGGGCTCTTACACATAGCTGAGGGTGTGAATTTAAGGACCACCCTGCTTAGACCCGGCCCCAGGTATGCACCGCACACAGGCAAATTCTACATTCAAACCTCTGTCAGACACAGCTGACACGATCTTGGGTTTCCTACATTACACTGAGACAAGCCCTTCCTTGTTGCCTTGAGTTACTAACTTGCCCTCATAAAACAAAGTCAGTGAGTTAAAAACCTCAGGAGCTAGGCAGGCATGCATTTCGGCAGCCAAGACCAGGATGAAGGCATGTCTCAGACAATGCACGCTGCATTACTGTGTACACAGTGGAATCCTATAGAATTCCAGGTATTTTTATTTGGAATCATTATATTGCTTATGCCTAAATTTAGAGACTTAAAATGTTTAATTTTCTGTGAGTCAGAGCTGGAGAATTTTGGAGCTTAAAGGTCTTAAACCTTTATTCGTTTACTTTATTTGGGGTTTTTATTTTCCTGTGAGCGCATGTTTACCGGGCAGGACGCTTACATCTGCCGTGGGGAGCAGGTGCGCACCCTTGACCCTTCTTCGCTCAGTCCCGTTCACCTCCCTCTCTTCACCGCTGGGTCCCCAGATCTCTTGAGGATCCAGCTTCCGTTTCCTGTTGGCTGCTTCCGAATTCTTCACACGTGGCGTTTCTGGTGCAGGAGCAGTTACGAGGCCTTTAAGCCTGTGCGCTTGGCTTCACTTAACACTCTGGCCGCGAGGTGCATCCACTGTCCACCTTAGGGTCCAGTGGAGTCTGTGTGGTTTTACATTTTGTTCAAAAGCTGAAGGTCCAATGGTCCTGAGTCTGTGCAGTGTCCTCCAGTTTACTGTCAGCTGTGACACGTCGGAAAAACGTGACTGGAGTTCAAGGAGGATCTGAGAGCCAGTGAGTCCTGAAGCAAAGCCAAGCACTTTCAAGAAATTCCAGTTTACGGCTAAGTACACAGGGCACTTTAGTAAACGTGAGAGAACTAATGCAGATTAATTACCTGGCTCGCGAGTGGATTTTGTTACTAGTCTAAACTTGCGTGAGGGAACATTAGTTAGCCATTATGTTTAAACTTCCCAACGTGATTCTGTTTTATTGTTTTGAGAAAATGGAAGGTTTTGCTTTTAAAAAGTTAAAATGGGCCAAGGATAAAGCTCAGCGGTACAAGCGCCTGCCTGGCAAGTGCAAGGTCCTGAGTGTGAGTCCCCATAACAAAAATAAAAGTTAAAATATTGGAACATAAAAAAAGGGTACATCCATTTCTCCAGCAGTGACTCAGTCTCCTTGACGGCACAGTAGCGCTCCGCGTGCACAGATACCTCGTGTCCCCCATCGGTGATGGCCTCACCAGCTGCTGCAATAGTCAGCATTCAGCACTGTCCTAACCCCAGCACTAGGAGGCTGAGGGCCTTCGGGGCAGCCCGAGGGCTCAAAGCTGCTCAGGGACAAGAAGCCCTCTGCAGCCAGCGAGCCCCTGCGCCTCCAGCAGCTCCTGACTCCGTGTCCCCCACCCCACGGCCGCCTCTCCTGTCACCCCTAGGTGCTTTCAAGCCTCTGAAATTTCATTTCCGTTCCTCTGTGCGCTCCTCGGGACCATCTTCCCTTTCAGACGTCCGAGGACAGGGCGGGGTCCAGCTGTCCCCAGAGGGGCCTCGTCTCCCCAGAAGTGGCTGAGCAGGCCACTTCCTGCAGGAGGAGCCCACTCTCCCACTGCTGGCCAAACCTCATTCTCCACAGCTGGAGGCAGGTTCACAGGTAAACAGGTTCACAGTGGCAGGCACTTCGGGCTTTCACGAATACTCAGCAGTTCTGCCTCTGCGGCGTATTCATGCACAGCCCCAGCACCACCAACATTACCTGCGGCGCTGAAGACAACCAGTGACTCTTCTTGGCTGGAATCCCACACTTGGGGGGCTGAGGCAGGAGGATCACCATGAGCTGGAGGCATCCTACACTGCAAAGGGAGACTCTGACGCAAAACAAAAACAAAAGCTCTGGCTGGAAAGTACAACGCCCGAGTGGGAGGCTACAAACGCCCTGTAAAAAGTCACCATCCTCCCAGCCTCACAACAAGGACTTTTTTTTGAGATTTCCCATTCATAGGATTTCTAAGGGTCACTGAAGCAAGAGGTATACAGAAGTTTCTTTTTTGGGGGGAGTGGTTTTGCTTGGTACCAGGGATCGAATTCACAACCTTGTGCTTGCCAGGCAGGCGCTGCGCTGCTGAGCTAAATCCCCTGTCTAGAAGTTTCTAAAGGGAGAAAACAGATTGCTGGATTTAAGAAAGGGAATCTTTCTGGGCAATGTGGAAAGAAAACCAGACAGGAGGGGCTCGCTGGGCTCACTCCAAACACTCTGGAGCCATGCACTTTCCCAAATAGGACCTCGGCCTCTGGACGGGACACCCTTGCCCAAGGGCTCGGTCTAGTGTGATGTACTGCACGGTCAACTACAGCACAGTACTCTGGTGGGAGAAGCCACAGGCGGCCACTAGGGACAAAATTCCTGCTGCTCAGAAACTGCAACCCTGTCATGTAGACTGGGTCTTTATGGACCAGGACAGTTTGTTGGGCAGAGGGGAAAAACACACGGGTATTCTAAGCAGGGCGGGGTAGTACAGGCTGTAATGTGAGCACTCTCGGAGGCTGAGGCTGGAGGACTACAGGGTCAAGCCCAGTCTGGGCAGCTAAGTTGACTTACAGAGACTCTCTAAATTAAAAACAAATTATAAAAGGACGAGGGGTGCTGGAGGCACAGCTCAGTGGAAAGGCCCTGCCTTAGTGCTAAGAATAAAAATAACAAGTGTACTCTAAACCTGAATGGAGTGAGAGGCTAGGGGGACAGTGCAAGAAAGGGCGGCTCGAGGGGAAACCTGAGGCTGCCAGAGGTCCTTTGCTCCCAGAGGAAAGTTCACAGGCGCAGCAGCTAATGGCTGGAGCGATTTGGAGTCGGTGGTGGTGCAGAAGGAGACGGCCCCAGTGGTGGTGCAGAAGGAAATGGCCCAGGTGGTGGTACAGAAGGAGACGGCCCCACGTGCACTCCCCTGTACCTGTGCCCTCCCCACATCAGCTCCTGATTCGCCTGCTTCTGCTGTGTGTGTGTTGGTTTTTTGAGATGGGTTCTTGCTATGCAGTTCAGCTGGCCTTAAACCCACAGCAACCTCCCTGCCTCGGCCTCCTGAGTGCTGGGATTACAGGTGTGTGCCAGGTTTCTGCCCCACTAAGGAACGTTACCACCAGTCCAGTTACTGTACCCTGAGCTGGCTGCCAGATGCGGGCTGCTCAGGCTCCCCCTCTCCCCTGGCCTCGGCCCTCGGTGGTTTCAGAGCTCACGGTACTTGCTCCCCAGTGCTGCTGCTGAGCAGCTTATGGCCAGGCCCCCGGTGCCTCCCTTTCTCCGGCTTCACTGGGCACACAGCTCCTGAGGACCGTGTGGTCCGTCCAGCACATCCCGACATCCAGAGACCCCACAGTTCCCAGTCAAGGTCTGAGCCATGCTCCGTGCTCCCCAGCAAATGTGCTCCGGTGTTGCACAACTGACCCATGTGGGATGGGGGTGCAGGGGGCTGCTGGCTGAATTCTAGTTCCTTCTGCTCGCTCTTCCTGGTTCTCACCGTGTACCCACAGGAATGTGACCCAGCCGTCCCTCCAGTAGCTAAGAGTCTGCTGTGAACCTGAGGCTGAGGCGGACCTGCTCAGGAGTGCGTGCCTGTGCTAAACAAAGCCTTGAAAGCGCTCCGGGGGACAGTGGCTGACCAGAGAGGCGGGGAGGAAGCCTCCGAGGGACCTCACACCTGCGGAGGAGCAGGGTTCCAGCTGCACATTTGAGAAGGTGAAGCAGCTCAGAACACCACTAAGGAAGGGAGCAGAGATGCCAAGGCAGTTGTGGCTACAGAGCGGTGTTGTTCCAAGAGGAACAGCCGAAACCTGGGGAAGGCGTAAGCTGATACAGGCCTCTTTCTGCCACACTGGGCGCTCGGCAAGCACGCAGGTCACTGAGCTCCCCACAGTGCTTTCCACTGCTGTGTCCGCCACGGGGTCCCAAATTCCACGTTAGTCCATAGGTTTCTGCCCAGTCACCCTGCAGGTTGCAACTTTATGGCCCTGCGGGACATTAACCCGTTGGAACTGACAAACAAAGCCAATTCAGCGTTTCTTTAATTATGTAACTGCTCCTGGGAGTGTCCTTCACACCAGCTCTACCCGCTTATCCGTCTTCCTTGTACTGCTGAGTTTGCTAAAGGAGTCAATTCTCACAAGGTCCCTTTAACGCCCTGCAAGCTCGGCAGCTGTGTCCATTCAGGCCCTTCTCTGCACCTTCCTTCCGACAGACACTTACTTATCAGGTAAACCTACAGGTAAGGAGGGGGAGACTCCAACATCCAGGGTGACAGTGACTGACAGCTGGACCCAAGGAACTGCTGTCTATCCGCACAGGAGAGCTGAGGGCAGAGCAAAGCACACTCACTAAGTACCGGCCACGTTCTCCAGGGGCACAGAGGAGGCGGACCACCCTGGCTGCAAACCTGAAACACGGCCGGCCGCAGGACTGAGGCGCCCAAGAGCTTTCCACAGCCACCGCTCGCGAGCGCGAAGTCCCCAGGAATGAAACTGCAAGCCATGGGCAGCGTTTCTGCTTACACTGCTCCACTTAAAGATAAAAGATGATAGGAGACAGGGAGACAGGTGTTTCTGCAAAAGGGAAGGGGCCCCGAGGAGGGGAGGGGGCACCGGGAGGGCAAGAGGAAGTAAAGAGTGAAGCCGGCTGCCTGTGCCGGCTCCCCACCGCGATGATGGGCTGCAAATGTGTACAAATGAAAACTTTTTAAAAAATACCTCGCTTACGTGGGCAAAAAGCAAGCGTCCTCTACAATTATTCAGCAAACCAAGCAGTGCAAACTGCTGTTTGCACATTCCTAGCCTGCAGTCAGATTTCAGTTTCCTCTTTCTGCCTCTGACCCACTTTATCAGACTCCACCCCAGGGCTGGGGACGAGCCTCTGCCCAGCAAAGCGAGGCACAGACTGACCCGGGCACTGGGTGATTCAGACCTGAGGCGGCCCAAGCGCACTTCCTGGTCCCGCACCCGGAAGCTGACGCAGCAGGCCAGGAGTGTCTGGGGCGCACAGTGGGACCCCTCGGCTCCCGAGGCCGCCGCGCTGCGGGGAGGAGGCGCCTCACCCCGAGGAGCTGCCCTGAGCCCCCGCGGACCAGCGCGAGGCGGGTGCGCGCACCGAGGGGCACGGCATTCCCGACCCCAGATCCACTGGGCCGGCGCCCGCAGGGCGATCTCAGCGCGGAATGCGGGCGCAGAGAGCACCCCAGCCCCTCCGCTGTGCCTGCGCAGCGTGACGCTGCATTTTCTCCGCCCGCAGCTCAGGGGCCGAGCGGCTACCTCTCCGCCGCGCGTCCCGCTGCCTGCCGGTCAGGTGAGATGCTCGGCAGCCGGGTCACTCTAAGACGTCCCTCAGCCTTCAGCAACTGGGGCTACACGGCAGGAGCCTCAGGTTAGACGCTGACTGCTCCCTCAGGAAATGACTTTCTCCTTGGCACACAGTCAGGCTCGTAGGCTTGGCCGGAATGTCCTTCCTGGCTTTTGCAGAAACACGCCAGGCACTGCCGCTTGGGGTGACCCGGTACTGTGTCATGGATCACCCTCCAGTCCTGTGATGGTGGGGATTTCGGTAACTCCCTTTGGTTGTTGGATTTCTTTTTTTATTCTTTGTCTTTTTTTGAGATAGGGTTTCACTATGCAGTTCAGCCTCTAACTCACTTTGTGGCCCAGGCAGCGATCCTCCTGCCTCAGCCTCCCAAGTGCTGAGATTACAGGCATGCAACACCACACAAACGATCTGTTTTCCACATACTTGTTTTTAGAATGGCCTTGTTAGGGCCTAAACCACCCCCTAGCCCAGCCACTTGGTTGACAATTACTTATATTTTTTAAAAAAGGAAACACACACACACACAAAACCTTCAGAAAACAAATTTCTTAAAATTTAAATTGTGAAAGATGATGTGTCCCAGCATCTCAGTAAATTTGGTATACAGCTTAATGGAGGTAACCTAGAAATAGCTTCTAGAATGTTTCTAGGTAACACAGAAAAAAGTCTGACATCAACGTGAATAGATATGGACTTATAGAAAAACGCCTAGATCAAAACATGCTTTCAGGGATTAGTATTTTTCAAGGATTCTAAATAGTAAAAAAGGACCTGGCATAGTTATGTTCACCTGTAGTCCTGGGCTACAGTTAGTTTAAGGCCAGCCTGAACTACATAGTGAGACTCCTGTCTCATTTTTAAAAAGGTTCAAAGCAAAGAAAGGTGAAACTTTTATGCTGTTAGAAATCAGTGTAGGGGGCTGGGGATTTAGCTCAGCGGCATAAGCACCTGCCTTGCAAGCAGGCGGTGAGGAGTTCCGATTCCCCGTACCGATAAAAATGAAAAAGACAAAAAAAAAAAAAAAAAAAAAAAAAAAAAGAAAAGAAAAAAGAAAAAGAAATCAGTGTAGGGAAGAAAAAGAAATCAGAGCAGTGGTTTCCTTGGAATGAGAACAAGAGATGGGGGTGCTTAGGAGACTGAAAATGCTTTTTCTACAACCTGGCTGCTTAGTTGCTTACTTTGTACAAATGATTCAAGTTATATCATAAGAGCAATAAAATGTTGGGGTTTTTTTTTTGAAGACAAGGTCTCACTCTGTAGTTAAGGCTATCTCTGAGCTCACTGTAGCCCAGACTGGCCTTGAATATTACGCAATCCTCCTGCCTCAGCCACCCTAATGGTGGGATTGCAGGTGTGCACCACCACACCTGGCAATAAAAAGTACTTTAAAAGCAAGTGTACTGAATGGATAAATAAAAACCTAGTGTCTATAGACAATGGAGTATTATTCAGCTTTAAAAGGAAATCCTGTCATGCACTAGCACACAGATGCAGCTTGAAGACCTTAGGATCAGCGCAAGAAGCCAGTCATAAAATGACAAATCCTAGACGGAGATCCAGCTCAAAGGCATCAGCACCTGTCTGGCAGGCACAAGGTTATGAGTTTGATTCCCTGTACCAAAAAAATAACAACAACAAAAAGACAAATTCTATGTGATCCCCCCTACATGAGGAATCTAAAGTGGGAAAATGCATACAAATAGAAAATGGGATGGTGGTTTCCAGAAGCTGAGGCCAGGAAGCAACAGGGCGGTGTCTACAGCCAGGGGGTTTCAGACATGCAGGGCAGAGGCTGCAGAAACCTGTTTCTTAACAATGTGGATCCACTTACACTGCTGGACAGTGGCTGAGGACGTTTTATTAGGTGATTTCACTCCATACAACAGGAAATGAATGCAGTTAAAACAAAACATGGTAAATAAATGGCAGTACATGAGTATTAGGAGAATCCTGAAGATGGTTCTGGAAAGGCCATCGCAGGCCACGCCTACTAAGGCCCCTGCCACACTGATGGAGCTTGGCCACTGGCCACAAAGCGCCACCGGACCTCGACTATGTCCTCTACCAGTCTTTGCCAGCCTCCCTTCCCCAACTGCAGCAGGAGATGCACCCTCCCTACCCCCAGGGTGGTCTCCCCAGCTGCTGTCCCAGCAAGAATGTGGGATCCGTGTTGAAACACCCGGGCCAAACCCCACCCATGTTGGCGGCTGCCTTCTGGTCCTCTCAGTCCTTCGGCATGGCGGCCTTGGAGACACAACCTATGCCTCTGAACGCCACAGATGCGACAGCGGTTAACAATGCCAGCAATTTGGCAAAGCGCTTCGGTTGTTGTTGGGTTTTCATTTTTAAGACAGGCCATCCCTATGTAGCCTGGGCTGGCCTCAAACTCGGCCTCCTGCCTCGGCCTCCTGCGTGCTAGGATTACAGGCCTGCATCCAGCGAGGCACTTTTCTTGTGTTTCCAACCTACTAAAATCGTGAAGGAGGCTGCATCCCGACGATGATCACCTGTGCTCTTAAGTCAAACCGTCCCTGCTTATATGCCAGCTCTAGGGATACCTGACTGTGGCTTCGGGCACGCCTCCCACCCCGAGCTTGCCTCCGTTTCCTCCTCTGTGAAATGGGGATCACGGGGCCGCCTTGTCTCCGAACGTCGCTGACGATCGACCCAGGAGGCCCATGCGCGGGGCCCGCAACAGCCCACCCGCGAGTGCGTGGGACCCGAGCCCCGCCGGGCCGCAGAGGACGCGAGCAGCTTTGGAGTGCAGGGTCGGGGCCCGCAGGCCGGGGTACGCGCGACACCCACCCCACAGGGCCCCCGGGCGACCCCGCCGCGTCCACTCCCCCCACCCCTCCCTCGCGGCCTCCGCGACTCGGGGTCTGCGGCGCACACCCGCGTGTGAGGCGGGTCCCCAGGGCTCCGAGGCCGAGGACGTGGGCGCTCGTCCCGCCCGCGGTCGTACCTGGCCTGTAGCGCCGCCCTGGGCCAAAGGCCACCCCGACTTCCTGGCACTCCGCACAGCGCATGCGCCCATGAGGGCCTCTGGGAACCCGCCGGAGGACGGCCGCGGAACTGAAGGAACGGCGCCAGCGCCCCCGTCCGGCCGCGAGAGGAAGAGCGCGGTGGGCGTGGCCTGCGGTGGGCGTGGCCTGTGGTGGGCGGGGCGCGCGGTACTGGCCCGAATGCTCTATAAATTGGTGAATCAAAAAAAAAAAAAATTTAAAATATTCGCAGATCCTAGTACTGCGGGAGGCTGCGTGTCGCAAGTTTGAGACCAGCCTGGTCAATGTAGCTACTAAGCCACACCCTGTCTCAAAATTCAGTTTTAAAGGGGAGAGGATATCACTCAGCCCGATGGCCCCCGAGCCAACCCTTCACACTGGAAAAGTAGTCATCCAAAATTTACTGTGCTGTTTGCCAAGTCCAGTTGTTCTTCCCCGTGTGCGTGGCTTTTCCACCTCCCCTCAGTACTTGCACTGTCCACTGTATGTGGCCTCCTCACCACCACCATCACCCCATTGCCCCATAGACCAAGTGGGCCATGGCTAGTCTGGGCTTCTAAACTAGACTTGTTAGAGCAGTGTGAGCTCACAGTAACAAGACCATCCTATTCACCCGGAGCCCTGGTCGCCCCACCTGACACCCCCTTCCATCCTCTCTTGATCCCCAGAGCCAGCTGATCCACTCCTCAGCTTCTGACCTCCTCTGAGCCAGAAGTGTGAGCCCAGCAGCCAGGCCAGCACCGTCCTGGACAGAACCTCTGCTCCCAGTCAGTGCTTGGACCTCCAGGAGTTCAGCATAGTGGAAAGAGGAGGAGAAAGGCAGAAACCTCATTTTCATAACCATCAGTAAAATAATTCTCCTAGTAGACTATGCTCTACCCTGATTTGCTGTTTGTTGTAGTCAGGAGTTACAAAGAGAACATAACTTATAGTATTATTTTATAATGGTCGCCCAAAGAGTCAAATACAAAAAGAAAGAGTGCAGGAAATCTATCCACACACTAAGGCCCAAAGAATCCAGCCGAGGGCCTCAATCCCACGGCAATGTCCTGCAGGAGTCCAGCAGGAGGCCCGGAGCCTGGGAGAATGTCTCATGTGAGTCTGTTTCACAGATCTGCACTGGAAAGGCCCAAATCTCAGCTGTGGAAGCTAACGTCTGCACCAGTGGGGTGAAGGAGCTGTGCCAGCAGCTGAGAGTCTGCACCGGAGCCAGGGCTCCCCCAAAATGTACCACGGCCATTCTCAGCAATGAGGTCCCGAGCTCCTTTGATAATAACAACTGAGCTCATATCGGGAAGCCAGGGTGACAAGCTTCTCCTGGAGACTGAGCAGCACACAACTTCCCCTCCGGAGCCAGGAAGCAATGCTCAAAGTAAGACCAGAGCTCCCCCAAAGTGAACCACACCCACTCTCAGCGACAACAAGGTCCCGAGCTCCTCTACCAGGGACGGCCAAGTTCTTATCAGGCAAGGAGCTCGAAAAGCTCCTCCAGGAGAACCGGTGGCATCAGGAGGACCAAACACACTACCTCTTCCTCTCCAGGTCTCTTTTTATCTTGGCAGCAATCCTCAGGTGGGCCATCCACACTCAGCACCACGCTGACTCAGTTCGGCTAGTGTTTAAATTGTCCATGAGTTATTAATCCACATTATTCTATTGTTGAATATTAGGATTTTTTCTTCTCTCTTTTGGGCTTTTTGAGACAGAGTTTCACTGTGCAGTTAAGGCTGGTTTTGAACTCACGGTGTAGCCCAGGGATCCTCCTGTTTCAGCCTCCTGCGTGCTGGGATTACGGGTGTGCACCACCTCCCCCAGCATCAGTGCACAGTTTGAGGCTCTCTTCATGTGCTACCAAAAGCTCTTGCAGGATGCTGACCCACGTATGCTCCCACTAGTGTCGGATATCGAGGAGGATTTTTCGTGCCTTCAGTAGTGGCTCTGAAGCAGCCCAGCGCTGTCCCCCGTCCCCCACTGCACCGGGCATCCAGGCCTGGCCTCCGTCTGCTGGGGTTTCGAGGGTCTCGCCCACGCTCTGCGTTCATGGACGCCCAGCGGCTGAGAGTCTCTGGTCCCCCGTGTGCAGTGAGGAGGTGGCCTTTTCTTTTGGTTAGAACTTCTCCGCAAGCTAAAGCCGTGCTTTCCTGCAGCATCCTGGGAGACGCTCAAATGCTCTTGAAAACCACTGGGTGTTTATTTAGCTAAATAAAAAAGAAAATAAAAGCTTTTCCCCCAAGTCCATTTTATTTCAAGGAGAAAAATTTAAAAAAAGACTAAAGCAAAATTTCAAAATGTCAATCTGGGCAGCAGTGGTCCACACATTACACATTGTCACCCCCACATCAGTCAGCAGAGCACAGGACACCTGCATTCAACTGTCCAAACAATGCCAGCACAGATCTTTCCCTTCAGTGAACTCAAAGAAACCAGTAGGACTATCTGGACTAGTTTTTTATGTACATACACCCATGTGCAGCTTCCAACACTAGTGAGACAATACGATTTTACACCTGTGTGTCTTATTTATTTCACTAATGAGTGTAGTCTCAAGATGTATCCATTTACCTATAAAATCCTCCAGTTTATCCTTCTTTATGGCTGAGTTGTACTCCATTGTATAAAATACCACATCTTTTTTATCTATTCCTCAGTAGATGGGCATTTAGGTTGTTTCCAAGATCTGGCTATTACAAATTGTGCTGCTATAAACATGGGTGCACATATATTGCTGTGGTGAGATGTCTAGTCCCAGTTTTTTTGAGGAATCTCCACACTGATTTCCATAGTGTCTGCACCAGTGTGCACTCCCACCAGCAGTGGAGAAGGGTTCCTTTTCCCTGCGGCCCCTCCAGCATTTGTTATTGCTTGACTTGTTGATGACAGCCATGCTTTCTGAGTGAGGTGAAATCTCAGTCTGTTTTAATTTACATCTCTTGAATGACCAGTGATGTTGGACATTTTTTCACATATTTATTTGCTGTTTGTATTTCCTCATCTGACATGTGTCTGTTCATCTCAGACGCCCATTTTTAGATTGAGTCTTTAAATCTGAGAGGGATGCTTTTTTTGAGTTCTCTATGTGTAATCCTTTGTGTGAGGAACAGCTGGCAAACGTTTTCTCCCACATTATGGGCTGTCCCTTCACTCCATGGTGGTTTCTCTTGCTTTGATAGAGCTTGTTAGAGGGTGAGATCCCAGTTGTTGATTCTTTGTGCTAGTTTCTGTGAAGTCAGGGTTTGTTCATAAAGTCTGCCTGCACCAGTGTCTTCAAGAGTTTTACCTGCTCTCTTTTCCAGCAGATTTAATGTTCTTGTTTTAATAGTAAGATCTTTGATCCATTCTGATTTTTGCTTAGTGCATGGTGAAAGATATGGGTCCAGTTTTAATCTTTAGCCTGTGTGGAGCCAGTTTATCCGGCACCATTTATTGAAGAGGCTGTCTTTCTTCCAATGAATCTGTTTGGCACCTTTGTCAAAGATAAGGTGGCTTAGTGTACGTGCAGTTGTTTCTGCATCTTCTAATCTGTTACACTGGTCTTCAGGTCTGGTGTTTGTTTGTTTTGCTTTGCTTTTTTGGCTAGTACCATACTGCTTTTATCACAATAGTTTTTTTTTTTTTTTTTTTTAAATTTTATTTAAGGAGAAAAGAAAAAAAAAGCAGGGAAAGGGTACAAGTTATACAGATTTACAGAAAAAAAATGAACAGTAGGAAATCACTAGTTAATGGATTACATATTGTCATCTCAGAAATAATTGTTCAAGTCACAAAATTAGAGCTTGTAAAGTGGACATTCCATCAATGATACTGCAAACAGTTCTGTTCATTGATCCAACAAAACTCTGTGATATCATTTTCTATCTTATACACTTAAATATACATGCAGTTATATAGTTTGGAGCACCTTCCTTTCCTCTCTTTTGTACCATGACTATTACACATTTTGGGTTTCATTGCTCCCACGGTTCTTATTACTTTTTTGGAAGAGAGTAAAACCAAATGTGACATAACAGAACAGAATCGGTCAAGTCAAAAGGGTGGACATAATAGATAATGTAAAAACATAATACAAGGTGATCAACAATGGTTACCATAATGCCTCCCGCTATCTCTAATAGAATTGCCTATATCATTAGTTATAATACAATTAAACAAAACAGTAAAGAACAAAACCGACAAAACCAAAACATTGGAGACATTGTAGGTCTTCAAAAGTAGACAAAAGTCAACAAGAATGGGCGTCATAATGAATCTCATTATCTTCATAGCTGATGCCTAAACTTTCGAACCTGATACTATCCAGCAAAACTGAATAGGGGAACATCAGTTAAAAACCAGATGGTGAGAGTAATACAGGGCTTTAAATCAAGGTAATGAAAAGTCAAAGTGGGTTACTATAATATATCCTGCTATTTTTTTCCCTTTGATTAAAAGGATAAAGATAAAAAAGTAAATAATGGAGTGGAGATTGAGATAAAAGAGGGCATAACAACGAAACAGCACAGATCAAAACATAACCATTTAAGCAGAATAGTGTTTCACCACCAGATAATCCTAACCTAAAAGTAGTTAGCATTAAGTATATCAAAACAATGTAAAACCATTCAAGAGAATGACAGCATTACAGAGTATTTAGAATCGACTAACAAAATGAACAATGGTTTCTGTATAATCTCCTTGTCTTTAAAAGGTTTTTGCTTATACTATCGTACATAATAAAATCCAATAAGATACAGCCTATTTAGACCATTGGAGACAGAAGGACAAAAGCTAGATGAGACTTCAAAACAAGATGATACTAAATCTGTATTACCTATTAAGATGTCATTTTCTCCAAAATAGCTGTTCCTATCATCCAATCTTCTCTGCCTCATTTCTGTTAAGCTCTTTTTCTGTCCGTAGCTGTCAGTTTGTCTTCTTCACTTTGTTCTCTGCTCCATTCGTTGTGGCCTCTCTGCCATTATTTCTGGATTCTTTGTATTTTTCTTTTTTTAGAATATCCTGCAATACTCTCTGTAGAGTTGAATTGGTGGTTGCAAATTCCCCCAGTTCCTCTTTATCCTGGAAGCACCTTGTTTTTCCATCAATTTCCAGGGACAGTTGTGCAGGATAT